GCCGCCGCCCCGCACCGCCGCAGCCGCCGCGGCCGCCACGACGGCCGCCGCCTTGCTCCGCGGCCGGCGCCGGCTCCTGCTGCGGCCCTGCTGCTGCTGCTGCTGCTGCTGCTGCTGCTGCGCGCTGGCTGCAGCCGCGGGCTCGGGCATGGGAAGAACAAGGGTGGTCACATCGGGCGTGCTGGTGACGCCTGCGCCCGCAGCCACTGCACGCCGCACACGCACGGGGGAGAGGACAGGGACGCATGTGGTGAGCGCAAGGGCAGGCTGCGGCGCAAGCGCACGTGCGGCGACGCCTGGGGAGGGCGGCTGGCGGGCCGACATCCAGCCCCACCCCACCGCAACCCAGCCCAGCCCCACCCCAATTTTCAATCTAAACATGGGTTTAGAAAGGGTTTAAGGTTTTTTCTGCCCAGCAGCTTCCCCGGCCCCAGCTGCCGCGCACCATAGTCTCCGAAGCAGCGCGACACGGCCAGGCCCGGGATGTGGGTGTCGCGCAGGTACACGCGGTACGGTCCCGCCGCCCGCCCCTCCTCGTCCAGCATCGTCTGCATCACCCAGCCGCCCGCCGCCTCGATGCGCGCCCGCTCCAGCGGGGAGCAGGGGCGGTGGTCGTGCGTGAGCGCGCAGGCGATGTAGCGGCCGCCCTGGCAGAGGCCCAGCACGGCGCGGGAGTCGCCCGCCCACGCTGCCGTCACGCTGCAATACGGGCGGTACGGGCAGGGAGGGAGGGAGGGGGGAGGCGGGGGTGGAGGTGGAGAGGAGAGGGCGGCAGGCAAGGGCCGGGGGGGCGGCGGCGGCTGAGAGAGGGTGGGAGGGGGCGATCCGGCAGGCGGTGCGCTGCGCAGCAAGCAGGCGGCGGCGGCGGCCCACCTGCCGGGCTGCAGCAGGCACATGACGGCGGTGGAGCCGGAGAGGGAGAAGTCGGCGCCTGTGGAGGGCATGGTGGAGGCGGCGGCCGCAAAGCAGCGCTCCAGAAGCTGCGCTGCCTCCTCCTGCTGCGCAGCGGCGGCGGCGGCGGCGCCCGGGCCGTGGCTGCCGCTGCCCTGGCCGCCCTGGCCGCCGCGCTGGCCGCCGTCCTGGCCGCCTTCGCGCGGCTGGCAGGCGGGCTGCGCCATCAGCGCCAGCTGGCTGTGCATGAGCAGGCCAGAGGCGAGGGCGTTGCGCAGGTGGGCCGAGGCGGCGGCCCCCGCCCGGCCGTGCCCGTCAAACACGCCGACGGCCACCGCGGGGGAGCAGCAGGCGGGCGCGTCGGAGCAGCCCTGGCACGCCGCCGCGCCGCCCGCCAGCGGCAGCGCCAGGAAAGAGTCCTGGTTGCAGCCCTTCCAGCTGTGCCGCTGCCAGCCGCCGCGCGACACCACCGCCACCTCAGCCAGCCCTGGCACCGCCAGCGCCGCGTCGGCGTCAAAGTGAGCGGGCTTGGTGTGCGCCGCGCTGTCCCAGGCCTGCACCACGGCGGGGCAGAAGGCAGAGAGGGCGGCGGTCAGCAGCCGGCGCCGCGCCGGGCTGCCGTACAAGCTGCCGTGCCGCCTGCCTCCTCCCGTGCCGCATGCGTGCATCCCGCCTCGCCCCCCCGAGCCCGCCCCTGGTCCGTCCCCGCACCCCCCAGGCTGTGCATCGCTGCTGCTTTGGCTGCCCACCCAACCCCACCCGCCACAGGCCGCCCACCCCACCCCACCCGCCACCCACCTGCATCACCAGCGCCGCCTGCTGCGCCTCTGTGAGCGTGCGTGGCGGCAGCGCCGCCAGCGCCGCCAGCGCCTCCTCCTCGCTGGCTGCCTCCTCGCCCCCCGACAGCACCGCCTCCATCAGGGAGGCCGCGGCCGAGGCGCCGTGATCCACCCAGCTGACCGTGTGCGGGCGCCTGGGGGCCGGCGAGGGCTTGGCAGCAGGCCTGCCGCCGCGCGCCGCCGCCAGCTCCCCCGCCGCCGCCTCGATGCGCTCCAGCTGCTCCAGGTGTTGCAGCACCTGAAGGAGGGGCGAGGCAGGGGCACGAGAGGGAGGCAAGGGGTGGAGGAGAGGTCAAGAGGAGGCGAGGCGCCGTCGACGCAGCACAGGGTGGCGGTCGCGCTGCTCGAGCCTCTGCAGGCTGACCGCAGGAGCCAGTTGCAGGCGCCTCCAGCCACCACCCCCTCGGAACCCCACCTGTGGCATGGTGAGGGTGTGCCGCATAACCTCCACCGCCCATCTGCAGCCGCCGCCCAACTGGGGCAGCGCCGGCGGCGCCGCGCCGGACGCCGCAGAGGCCTGGACCGGCTGCTGGCGCCTGCGTGGATGCTGCCGGCGCGCTCCCACGGCCGGGGAAGCCGGCGGCTGGGCCAGCACGTGTGGCATGGCGGAGCGGGGGTTGTGGATAAAACCTGGCTGCCAGGACCTCCACCGTCTGCAGGCGGGGCCAGGGATGGTAGGGATGGCTGGGTCGGCAGCTGTGCTGCCCACCCAGGCGCGCGGGCCACGAATTGCGCTTGGCCCGCTGCCGCCGCCCCCATGCACCCCGCACCCACTCGCCTCTTTCGCAGCTTTCAGCCTCACGAACGTCGAGTCTGCTCCCCCAGATTCCCTGAGCAACGGCCAAACTGCGCTGCAGCGCGAGGACTGGCTGGGAACGGCAAAACCAGCCCAACAAGCACGTCCAAGTGTGCAGCGCGTCTCTCGGAACAACAACGAAATCCAGGGGGTGGGTTGAAAGCGACGAAACAGCTGAGCCGCTTTCTCACCCAAGCAAAGCAGGCAACTCATGCCGAGGCTCAAACATGCCGAAAGGCCCCCGCCTGCTGCAGCCAGCCCCCAGGAAGCTCGGCATACAGCCCAGGGTGCTGCTGGCGGAGCAGCCCCCCCGCCGACGCCGCCGATGCCCCTTGCGGCCGCCCAGCTCCTGTGTTGTTACAGCGCGCCGCAGCAAGCTGAGTGCTGCAGGGCTGCTCATCCAGCGCAGTCACTTGTAGAACTCAAAGGAGTCCGAGGTCTTGCGTACCACATTCTTGTATGCCTTCTCAAAGTCCTTTGGCAGGATGACATACCGGTTCTTGCGCACCGCCAGCATGCCCGCCTCCTGCGCCAACCACGACGCACACACAGGCGCGCACCAGGGTCAAGGCCAGGGAGAGCGGCCCTCCCAGGAAGGCAGGTCGGGCGCAGAGGGCGCAGGCACGCAAGCGGCCGAGCCTAGCGCGCCACGGCCATGCGCCCGCCCACCACACGTCCACCCATGCTGCCTGCTCCTCCTCGCTCCACCCCCAACACACCACACACACACACTTACACACACGCACACCCACACCACCGCCTCGCCTGGCAGATGGACGCAATCTCGGCGTTGTTGATCTTGTCGGGTCGCGCCACATAGTCCTCCAAGTCCACCTCCTCGCTCAGGTTCATGGCAGAGGTGCAGGCCTGCACACACGCAGGCGGGCGGGGCACGTGCGGGCACGCATGCGCGAGCGCGTGAGGGAGGGAGAGCGGGGCGGGGCCGCCCGCGGGCCGAGGCGGGCGCCGAGCGAGGGGAGCAGCCGGGGGCGGCAGCCGGGGAGGCGGCGTGCTGCGCGGCGCGCAGGCGGGCGGCAACCACCCGGCACCCGCCGCCACCAGGCGCCTGCGCGCGCACACATTCACACAAAACGCACTCAAAACGCCACCACCACCCCACTCCCCCTGCTGCCTGCTCCACCTGGAACACGAGCCGCTTCTGGCGGCGGTCGGGCAGCGGGAACTCGATCTTGCGGTCGAGGCGGCCGGGGCGCAGCAGCGCGGGGTCCAGCGTGTCGGCGCGGTTGGTGGCCATGATGACCTGGCGGCAGGGTGGAAAGCACGCATGGGGCCGGGAAGAAAGACAGCGTGACGGCGAGGGCAGCAGGGCGAGGCGGCGCATGGGGCGGGGGTCGGGTGGAGGGAGGTGCTGAGGCCGGCAGGGGGACAGGTGCGCTGCGGGGCTGCGCGGAGAGCTGCGGCCTGCGGGCTGGCTGCGGGCTGCGCGCGCGCGGCGCCTTGCCCACCTTGACGTTGGTGCTCTGCTCGAAGCCGTCCATCTGCGTGAGGAGCTCCATGAGGATGCGCTGCACTTCCCTGCAGCAGGAGGGCGGGGCCGGGAGTGAAACGGGGCCGGGTGGGGAACGGGAAGGCACGGCACGGCACGGAGCACGCCTCGGCCGCGGTGCAGCACAACCAGAAGTCGGCCAGCCGGGGTGGCCAGGCTGCCAGGCCTGGGCAGGCCCTGCAGAGCCCCGCCAAGCCCGCCGCTGCTGTCCACCCCACCCCCACGCCGCCGCCGACGACACCACGCTGACCACCCGCCCACACCCGCCTGTCGGCGCCCGTCTGCGCGTCAAAGCGTGCGGTGGCAATGGCGTCCACCTCGTCCACAAAAATGATGGAGGGGGCGTTCTGCTTGGCCAGGCGGAAGACGTCACGCACCATGCGCGGCCCCTGCACCCGTGGCGGCGGCGCAGCAGGCGGGAGGGGGTAGGGTCGGGGGAGGCACGCGCGTGACTGGCAGGTGCGCCTGTTTGGTAGACCAGGCGAGAGATGCCGCGGCGATGCGCGGCCTGTACACCACCCCAGTGGCGCTCTGGGCCGCCCGCGAGCATGCCTTCAGTCCTGGGCAGCTGCCCAGCAGCCTCCCTGGGGGGCCACCCCATCCAGCCTTCCCCTCATACACCCTCCCCTGCCCTGCAGCCGCCCACCTCCCCAAGGTATTTCTGCACAAACTCGGAGCCCACAACGCGGATGAAGGAGGCGGTGGTGTGGTGCGCCACGGCCTTGGCCAGCATGGTCTTGCCTGCAGGCGGGGGAGGCGGGGTGGCGTGTGAGGGGGGCCCGCAGCCGTCACACGGCGCAGGGCAGCAGCACGCCGCCGCCGATGCAGCAACGGCAGCAACGGCAGCACCAGCGGGCGCAGAAGCTGCAGGCAAAGGAGGGCGCACGGCGAGCAGGGCACCCAGGGCGAGCAGGGCAAGCAAGCCCCACTGCGCACCAGTGCCGGGCGGGCCGTAGAGCAGCACGCCGCGCGGCGGGTCGATGCCAATCTGCTCATACAGGTCGCCCTGCACCAGCGGCAGCTCCACCGCCTCCTTGATCTCCTGCTTCTGGATGTCCATGCCGCCAATGTCCTGCAAGATGAAAGCGAGAAGGAAGCGAGAAGCACGACCGGGATGTGTGGGCAGGGGTGGAAGGCGAGGTCGGGCACGCCAGGGTGGCCCGCGGCATGCAAAGGCACGGGGCAGCGGCAGCGGCGGTCTGGCCCAGCGCCCATGCCGCCACGCGGCAGCCTGCCTGGCCGGCTGCTGCCCCAGGCGCGTGCGGGCTGCAAGCACCGCACCTGGTACGTCACATCCGGCCGCTCCGTCTGGCTCATCACGCTGATGGTGGAATCCGCCTCTGGCGGCAGGATGTCCACTAGCGCGTTGGAGTGGCGGTGCAGCGCCACGGATGCGCTGGGCCGCAGCAGCTCCCTGCGGCGCGGCGGCGGCGGGCAGCACGGCGAGCAGGGGCGCGTTGGCGGCCGGCCGGCTCCCAGCATGGCGCGGCGGTTGGCGCCCACGCGCCCACGGCAGCATGGGCGGTGCGGGACGCCAGCCATCAAACCCAGCCTGTTGCCTGCCTGCCTGCCTGCCCAGCCGGCCTGCCGGCCTGTGCGGCACGGCTCCTCGAACCCCCACCCTCCTGCCTGTGCCTGCGAGGGGGGCCTGCGCGTCCTACCTGTTGAGGGTGGAAAGGATGCGCACATAGTAGTTGGATCCCGTGGTGGAGCCCACAATCCCCGTGTTGTTGTCCACCATCTCCAGAAACTGCCCAATCACCAGCGGCACCGCCTGCACACGCGGCAGCGGCAGCGCCGTGGGACGCGGGCGGGTGCGAGGGAGGCGGCGGCGGCGGGCGAGCGGCAGGGGCAGAGCGGCTGGCTGGCTGGGGGTGCGGGGAGCAAAGGAGAGCCGGCATGGCGGCGGCCCAATGGGCGGGCGCGCAGCCTGTTTCCACGGCCAGCCCCGACCGCGAATGGATGCAGCCATTGGGCACGGCAGCAGCCGGCGAGCGCAGGAGGCCAGGGCAGCGGGCGGCGATGTCAAGCAGGCGCACCTGGATGCGCTTCACCTCCTCCTGCGCTCGCAGCAGCTCATTCTTCAGGTTCTTCTGCTCCTCCTTGATGTACTCCTCCTGCAAAGGCACCAGGAGGCACGAGGCGACGACACACTTGAGCAGCGGCGGCGAGAGCGGCGGTCGGAGCGGCTGGTGAGACCTGCGCCACTCAGGCCTGCCTCACGCCGGTGCTATGCTTGCTCCTGAGCCTGAGCTGCTCCCCGGGAGACTGTGCAGGCGGCGATCAGGGCTGCCAGTGTCTGCTGGAGGGAGCCACAGAGCACAGGCAAACTGAGGAGCCCTGCCAGCGCTGCCCCGGCGCACCTGGATCTCCAGGAATTCCAGCTGCCGCTGTAGCGTCTTCAGCTTTGTGTAGAGGTCCTCCTGCGGCTGGCCGGCCTCAGTTGTTTCCATAGCCTCGGGCTCCGCCCGGCTAGGCACGTCCTGGGCCTTGGCCACGGCCAGGGCGGCCGACATGGCTGGTGCTTCCTCGCGCTCTCGCCGCAAACCCACTCCCCGGCCGATCGATCGAGCGGCTGTTTACAAAGTCCACCAGCAGCCAAGCGAGGACACAGGACAGGCAGGCAGGGCCCGCAGAACGACCCAGCTTAGCTGCAATGCTAGCTGGCGCAGCATGCCGGTCATGGGCGGGAGCAGCGGTTGCCGCAGTGCGACGGCTGCTGTTCCTGGTTGGGGCTTCCCACCGGGCTGCAGGTTGTGGAAGACGCATCCATACATCTTGTCGCCATGGCATCAGAGCGCCCAGTGCCGAAGTAGGTGCCCACCCGAGAGACCGCCGTTGCGCTTTCAAGTTCTTTGATGCAAGAAGATCCCCACGCTTGCCTGGTGAATGTGAGAGAAAGGCAGCAGGATATTGTGAGAGAAAGGAAGCAGGAGGTGGGTGGGTGGCCAACTCACCATCCACGGAGCCCTTCGGCAAGTGGCGGCACTGCCGCAAAGTGTGCTGCGGCCGGAAGCTGCCGCATGGGGTGCTGCAGTCGGCAAACCGGCCTCTGCCTCTCCCCATGGGGCCTTTACATCACCTTGGGACCGGATTGGCAATAAGCATACGCATATACGAACGTCCCCAATAGCAACTCTTCGCCTCCCTGCGACGGACACGACTACGGGCAGGGCGTTACAGGTCGCCTTGCATTGCCTCTGCTGTCCGTCTTCCTAAATCCTGCCTTCCGCTGCTGTCACAAACATATTCATTCGCTCAGCGCAGCAGAAGGGTTCGGCTGTGCGCTGGACCTGGGCGGCAAGCGGGCTCCTGCGGTCTTCTGCAACCTCCCCTTGATTACCAAGGTGATCACAAGTGCCGCACCAGCGCAGGACAGCTCCGGGAGGGTCATTGCACCCCCCGGGGAGGGTTCTGCGGCTGCCAGTTGACCCTCCTATGCCCGTCCCACACTTCCAGCACCCTACCCCACCGCCTGCCGGCTGCGGCACTTGAAGCAGCATGCCCGCGGGGCGTAGGCAGCGCGACGGCCGCCGCGGGGCGTGTGGGTCCACCCTGCGCCGCCCCCATGCGCGTCGTGCGGCCCTGCCATAACCAGTGCCTGCAAAATGCCCTATATAAACCCTGCGTCCGCCTGCTGTCCCTTCTGACTGCAGTGCACGGAACCTTGCAAGTCAGTGCAAGCCAGCCCTATCTCGCGACATGCTAGCCACAGTGGATGGTGCGGCCGTGTGCTCTGCCGCGGCCGGCAAGCAGCCGGGATCGCAGGCGTGGCCCGCGCTGCCCGCCTCCCCGCCCTCCCTGCTGACATCGGGCACACCTCTGGAGCCTGCGCCCTCGCTGGAGGAGGCCCTGGGCTCGCTGACGGTGCACGACAAGGGGGCAGGTGGGCTGGATACCCCCATGGCGCGATGGGGGGCGCTGGAACCTACTCGCGGCGGGTTTCAGCAGGCAGTTGCAGCTGCAGCAGGCCATTTCCTCTTTTTCATTTGCGACAGGACCTCTGCACTGAGCTGCTGCTGGCGCTGCCGCCGCCCTGCAGGTTGCCTGGCCCCGGGGCACGGCACAGGCGGCGGCAGCGGCGGCGCGGGGAGCCCCACCGGCGGCGGGACGCCGCCCGCCAGCGAGGCCTGGGTGCTGACCGCTGGCCTGGCCTCCTCTGCTGCCACATCCGGCCTCTCCCCTGATATCAGGCAAGTTCCCATGCCTGCCGTCAGTCAACACAAGAGGGGCAACATGTTCGGGTGTGCTCCCTAGAGGGGTGCCCGCCTGCCTTCCTGGCCCTACAAACCACCACCACCCCGCCGGCCTCCTGCCGCAGCCCCCTCGAGTCGCGCGTGGAGCTGGCGCCAGCACTGCGGGCAGCGCTGCTGCAGCAGGCACAGGTGCAGCAGGGGCGGCGTGAGCAGCGCCGCGCCCCGGCGACGGCGGCGCTGATGCAGGCGCAGCAGGCGCGGGTGCACCTGCACGGCATGGCTGTGCCCACTGGCCGTGCCGCAACGCCTGCAGCCTCGGCCTCCCTCATCAGCGGAGGCCTCATGACACCCTCCCACTCTCTGGACGACCTCACAGCACCGGGCTCCCTCCTAACCGGAGCCATGTCCCGGGCGCCATCCGCGGCGCTGGCGCCAGAGCTGCAGGCATTCCTGCTGCAGCAGCAGCAGCCGGACGAGGCTGCCGCCAGCTGGGCGACCGCGCACAACAACAGCTGCGGCAGCTTGGACCTCCTGAGCCAGGCCAGCCTGCAGGCAGCCGAGCCCCTCGCCACCCTGCGCCCGTCCCCCACGCCGCAGCTCACCGGCGCTGGCGGCGGCGCCGGCGCCGGATTTGATTGGCCATTGGAGGGCACGCAGCTGCCGTGCCTGCCTGGCTCCCTTGCCGCGGCTGCAGCCCCGCAGCTGGGCGTGCTGCCCCTGAGCGGAGGCAGCAGCGGCCCAACCAGCATGTCGGCTTACCAGGCCGGCCCCTGGACACCAGCCTGCTTCCCCGCGCCGCAGGCAGCGCTGCCGGCCGGGCCGGCGTTCCCGCAGAGCCTGCCGCAGGTGCTGGGGGCACAGCTGCCTGCGCACCTGCAGTCCCTGCTGCTGCATGAGCAGCAGCACAGCGCGGCCCTGCTGCAGCCCTTCCCCTCCAGCCACGGGCTGCCGCGGCCCCGCCTGTACCACCCCCATCCGCAGCAGGTGCGGCTGCCACTGCCCCCCCTGCTGCCGCTCATGCTGCTGCCTGCGGGGCCGCCAACCAGCACATAGCCATGCTTCACTGCACGCGAGATGCCAGCGCTCAGCTCCTGCACGCCTCTTTGCACGGCCTCCCTGCGCTGCAGGCGGTGCAGGGCCTGGCCCGCAGGCTGGCCCAGGCCGCCACCCAGGACCCTCCGGAGCTGCTGGTGGGGCCGCAGGGCCGCTACCAGCCCTACTGCCAGCAGGTCATCTCCGCCCGCCTCAACCACGCCGCCACGAGCGCCCTGAGCATCATCAGGCTGCTGCAGTCGCGAGACACGCCCGCCATCGCCGCCCAGATCGGCAAGCGCTACTACTGCTCCCTCAAAGAGGTGCGGCCCGGTGGGGGGTGGGGGGTGGCGTGTGCGGGATGGGTCGCGTGTGTGCATCTGGGAGCAGGGCATGTGTGCCAGGCTGCTGGTCATGCTTTGCAGCGGACCACCTCCTCACTCAGCCCGGCGGCGCCCCCATGCTGCTGCCCCACGCCGCCGGGCCTGCTGCTGCCGCTTGCTGCCGCCTGCCGCGCAGGTGGCCAAGGTGGTGGGTGGGGCGCGCTGCCTCCTGGTGGCCCCTGACGTCCAAATCTCCTCCACAGCCAACATCAACCCAGTGCGTGCTCTGCAGGTGGGTGGCGGGCCCGCCGCCAGCGCAGGCTGCGCCCCCGCGCCCTCCGCCCGCCCCCCCTCTGTCTCAATCCGCCCCTCACCTCGCTGCTCTTCTCCATTTCACACACACATGCATGCATGTATGCATGCGTGCCCACCACCACCACCCAACAACAGCAATAATGGATAGAGGAGCGCACCGGTGCGGCGCACCCCATACACCGACCCGCCCGCGCATCCACCCTGGCGCATTGTGTGCTGCCCTCTGCCGTCCTGCCCCTGCCTGCAGCGCATACTGTTGGATGCCCAAGCCGCCGGTGTGCCCGTCATCTTTGCCCTCAGCCGCCGAGGGATCGGCCAGGTTTGCTGCGGGGCCCATGCCCCAGCTGATATGCCCCGCAGCCACGCAGCGGCTGGGAAGCTTGGGCCACCAGATGTGGCACCGGATGTGCCGCCGGTGTTCATGCTTGAGGTGCCAGACCCGAGCACCACCCCACTCGGTGCCAGCAGTGGGTTTGCGCCGCTGCTGAGCGCCCAGGCTCAGAGCCGCCCGCTGCGCCGCCATGCTGGTGGAGGGGCCTGAGGTGGAGTACCGCTGCGGTACTGCCGCAGGTGTTTGGGCGGGACAAGTCTATGTCGATTGTGGCCATCATGCGGCTGGAGGGGCTGGAGGGGGAGTATGGGGTGATGGTGGAGGAGGCGATCCAGGTGGGGTGTGGGGGCATGGCTGGCGGTGGTGGCGCCAGCAAGGCGGTGGTGCCAGCCCCTGCTGCACCACCACCCAGCTCACGCTCTGCATGTGGGCTGGCCAGGCCGCGGGGCGGCGCACGTGGTGTGGCAGCATGGTGGCGTGGCGCGTGGTGCGCTGTCTGTGCGCGTCTGCCTGCGCTGCTGAGCCAAGCCCGCCCATGCGCTGCGGGCACCCTGTCCTGCAGGGGCGCCAGCTGTACATGCAGCACCGTGGCGGGGCCCCCACCGCCGCTGCCCTTGCCCCCATGGGCGGCCACCTGCCAGGCGTGCCTGTCGCTGGCGACATTGGCGCCGCCGCCATTGCCGCCATACAGCGAGCGCAGGCCGCCCTGTCGCTGCCTGCTGCTCAGCTTGGCATCCGGCCGTAGGAGGCTGGCTGGCTGCTGCCCGCCTCCTGTCAACCTCATGTTATCTACCTGCGAACCAATCTACATGCGCCGCATGCATTTTCCTGCCAAACCCACCCAGCTCAACGGTGCCTACAGTTGTGCGCTGCGCGGCTTGCGGAACGCGCTGGTGCCTAGCACAACACGACCTAGTTTTTCCAATGAACACCTCCTCTTTTCATGCCCTGTTTTTCCAGTGAACACCTTTTTGTTCGTGCCTTGCTTTTTCCAATGAACAACCTCCCTTTTCATGTCCTGCGCTGTCACGCCCCGCTGCGTTTATGACTCACCCATTGATGAGGCTGCATGTCTCTTTTTCCCAATCCAATCCATCGACAGGCCGCATGCTTTGCGCCTGGCGCCAATGCGCCGCATAGCCAGCCTAAACGTTGCCGCATAGTCAGCCTACCCACGGCTGAGGTTCGCACTCATACAGTTAGACCTATCTAGATATCTCTCAGATCTGAGAAGCTCTCCCTCGCCCTACAGCGTCCAACGCACCTCCCACATCCATGTGTTGAGGCCCCGTGCCTCCCCGCCTCCCCATCCTCAACCCCGTGCAAACCTACCCGCGCCCCTGCCTGTGTACGTGCACCTCTATATCCCCCAAATGGGGAGCCAGTCTGTACATGTCCAATAGGCTTCAGCAAGGGAGGCTGGGCTCCATCAGCCCGCCTGCCCGCCTCACTCAACAGGCGAGAGTGCCTTGTCCAGAGCCTGCCTGGTCGCAGCCGCTTGATGTGATGCTGCGACTCCCTTGTGTATTGACACACTGCCCCCGGTGTGCTGACATTCCTTGTTCCTTTTTTCTCTCTCCCCATGCTGACCCTAGGGCTGCCACAGTGAATCACCCAGCCCTCCCTCTGCTATTCCCTCCAGTTCTTCCCTGAACCAATGGTGTGCACAGGAAATGTATGTCAACAACGAAAGTATCACATGCCCACAAGTAGCACAAGGGCCTCGGATGCGAGCGCACAGCACTCAGACCAACGCAGCAGGACCTCCACGCTCTGTCGGCGGGCCTTGCTGCGGCTGCCGCTGCTGCTGCGCTGGCGCCTGCCACCGCTTGCGCTGCCTGCGCTGCCACTTGCGCCGAACATGGGGCAGCAAGCCGGCCACGGCACAGGCGCCGTGGCGCAGCGCCCCCGCGGCGTGCGCCGCCAGCTTTATGGGTGCCAGGGCGGTGCTGCAGCGGGGAGCAGGGCGAGCCAGGACCGAGGGGTTGACGCAGGGTTGGAGCAGGCGTGCCGCAAACGTGTGTTGCATAGCGGCGGAGTGCCCGTGTGGCAACAGACGCACGCGGCAGCAGGGCGCGGGCGGCAGGCGAGGCGCCCCACTCACAGCAGTGCGCCCTGGGCGAAGCCCTTGGCCAGCCCGCCAAACAGCAGCAGCAGCCCCATGTGGGCGTACTGCAGGCAGGCAATGATTGGGTGCAAGGGGGTGGTGGGGCAGCGCGCCAGCTGGCCATGCACGGCTGCGGTTGCTTGACGGCGGCCGGTGGCAGGCAAGCGGCTGCTGTGGGGTGTGCAGCGCACCTCTATTGCCATTGCCAGGCGTCGGGCGGAGGCGCAGAGCGCCGCCGCCGCGGGCTCCAGCGGCCAGGGCAGGGCGCCCACGGCGTGCGCCTGTGCCCAGCCCACCGCCAGATGGACCCCCAGGCCTTGCAGGTAGCGCGCCGCCGACAGCAGCGGGGCATCCCAGCGGCCGCTGCAGGCAGGCAGCGCGGCGCGGCGCGGCACAGCACAACAGGCGGGGCCGGCACCTTAGGCGTGCAGAGCGGGAGGCACACTGTGTGCATGCAGACTCTCGTGCCGGCATCAAGCGATGCTTGATCCGCCAACCACCGGCCGCG